GGTTTAAAGCTTTTTAATCGTTCTTGACTTTGATCTTGAAAGTGTTAAGAGAAGATGTTCGGGAGAGCGCCGAAGAAAAGCGATAACACGAGGTACTATGAGATACTGGGCGTGTCCAAGAACGCTTCACAGGACGATTTGAAGAAGGCTTACAAGAAAGCTGCAATCAAGAACCATCCCGATAAGGGAGGCGATCCTGAGAAAGTGAGTTCTCTTCTACTCATCTTATTATTGCCAGTCCGGTGAAGTACTATGAATTAGGTGGTGAAATGTTCTGTCGTTTTTTTTTTTAGTGTTTTTTGGATTTTAGGGGTTTATTAATTGTTGGGAATTGTACATTCATTCTTTTTCGTGGATATTAGTTTTCTTCTTTGGCTTTTCTGAGGAATTTTAGAGGGGAAATGATGAATTTGTGGGATCAATGGTTGAGAAATTTGTAATGAAAGGATTTTTTTTTTTTTCTTTTTTCTTTTTTTGCTGTTTCTTATTCTTTATTAGTGTTTTATGGGTCTGGTGATTGATTTTATGTGAAAAAGATGTGGTCTTTAGCGTTTGAATATGTTGTAGATGAGTAAAGATGAATCTTGAATGGGTTTCTTTTGCAGTTCAAGGAGTTGGCTCAGGCATATGAGGTTCTGAGTGATCCTGAGAAACGTGAGATATATGATCAATATGGTGAGGATGCACTCAAGGAAGGAATGGGTGGTGGTGGTGGTGGCCATGATCCATTTGACATATTCCAATCTTTCTTTGGTGGGAGCCCATTTGGAGGTATGGACTGTATGGACTTTTATATGATTTAGAGGGAGTATTTTATTAGATTAGCCGGTGCATCTGTGCTCAAGTACTGGTGATTGAATCAATGTCTTGTTTCTGAATAGGTGGCAGCAGCAGAGGACGTCGACAGAGGCGGGGAGAAGATGTGGTTCATCCTCTGAAGGTTTCTCTTGAGGACCTCTACCAAGGTACCGCAAAGAAGCTCTCACTCTCGCGAAATGTGATATGTTCTAAATGCAATGGGTGAGTACTGTTTTTTTACTTTAATGCTCTTTTGAAGATCCTTTTCAAATATGGTTAATAATTTTCCACATGGGATACTAATATTTGATCTACAACAGCAAAGGATCGAAATCTGGAGCTTCAACGAAGTGTGCTGGTTGCCAAGGTACTGGTATGAAGGTTTCAATTAGGCACCTTGGCCCCTCTATGATTCAACAGATGCAGCATGCTTGCAATGAATGTAAGGGTACTGGTGAGACTATTGATGATAAGGATCGATGCCCACAGTGCAAGGGAGAGAAGGTTGTTCCAGAAAAGAAGGTGCTTGAAGTTTTTGTTGAGAAGGGAATGCAGAATGGGCAGAAGATTACCTTCCCTGGTGAAGCTGATGAATCGGTATGCCTTGGTTTCGGTTAGCATAGCTTCTTCCCCTGTATACTGGCTTTATGTAATGGCTCTGATTGTTTTCCCTATTTGTGTTTTCTGCAGCCTGATACAGTCACTGGAGATATAGTGTTTGTCCTTCAGCAGAAGGAACATCCCAAGTTCAAGAGGAAGGGTGAAGACCTCTTTTATGAGCACACGTTGTCTCTCACTGAGGCTCTATGTGGTTTTCAGTTTGTATTGACACACCTGGATGGCAGACAGCTCCTTATCAAGTCTAGCCCTGGGGAAGTTGTCAAGCCTGGTGAGTAATAGGTGCATAACTGTAGAAGTTTCTAGAACGTTTGAGATTGTATTGATTACTGTTCTAAGCATTGACTTGTAATTCTCTTTGACAGATTCATTCAAGGCTATTAATGATGAGGGGATGCCTTTGTACCAGAGGCCATTCATGAAAGGGAAGCTTTACATTCACTTTACTGTGGACTTCCCTGATTCTCTGACCCCAGATCAGGTTAAGGCACTAGCGGCTGTTCTGCCACCCAAGCCATCATCTGAGCTGACTGACATGGAGCTGGACGAGTGTGAGGAAACTACGTTGCATGATGTTAACATTGAAGAGGAGATGCGGAGGAAGCAGCAGTCTCAGGGTCAGGAGGCGTATGATGAAGATGATGACATGCACGGTGGTCCTCAGAGGGTGCAGTGTGCCCAACAGTGATGATGATAAAAATCGATAGACCTGAGTCCTTTAATATGCTTGCATGATTGAAGCTACTAATGTGACTAGTACTTAGAGATCTTGGGAATGTGGTGAGATAACCATGGAGAGACTTAAGGGACAAATTTTCATTCCTAAAAGTTCTTTTAAGGCAGTCATTTTCATATTTTTATAATTGTTAATGTTTTTGTTATGTGATGGTTGAAATCGAACCTTGTGATTTCTGGCTAAACTTAGATGGCAGGCCAAACTGAAACTTATTTGGCAAAAATAAGCGACAGAAATTTATGCAGGTAGAAAAGAAGATTGATATTTTTGTTAGTTTAATCTTACTGTATGTGATGTTTACATAATTGAGATTGATTAATAAGTATAGCTTACTGTTTGTGTGCACAATACGAATTGTTTAGTTGTAAAATTCAAGATTACACAAAAATTTTATTTGGAAAACTGATGAATAATTTGTTGGTTGCGTGCATACTCATTGAGCCAAGTGTATTTTTTTTAATGGATTATATTTTCTGTGTTCACTTTTCTTAAAACTGCATGCCACTTTCCTTATAACAACAAATGCCATTGAAAATTTGCAAAGTTTTAGGTTTATGATTTTATGAAGGAATTAAATTAAATTAGAGTTTTCTAAATTTGTACCATCTCCATGTATCAGTATTCAGTATTTGAAACAATCCACCTTATTTTTTCTATAAATCTAGATTGGGTCTCATAAAATAGTATTCTTTCTATTTTTTCTTATTAACAAAATAATCACTTCCATTATTTGGAAAAAAAAGCTTTAGCAAATCCTTTAAATTTAAGAAAAACTCTGAAATTGTCATTTTGAAAATTAATTCTAAAAAAAAATGTAAAGTTGTTCTTGAAGCAGTATTAAAATAAGGAAAATAATATAGTCATCGAATGTAGTGCACCGAATTCATGCATCGAATGACATGATAAAATCCTGGTGGTTGATTAATTATGAATTAATATTAATCGACGGTCAGGATTGTGTCACGTTATTCGGTGCACTACTTTCGATAACTGTAGCATTACTTTTAAAATAAAGTCTTAAAGTCCAACATGAATAAAAGAGTAAACGACATTTACCCACCCAAGGTTTGGCGAATCTTCAAGTTCCCACCCATGGTTTCATAAATTCCAGATTTTCACCCTTAAATTAATTAAAAACTGTTTAATCTAACGGTTAAAAGGGTAAAATGGTCATTTCAAAGATAAAAATTTTGAAATAACCCTCATATCTCAAATTCACCCTACCGAAGGACTAGAAATTTCAGGCCAATCTGGTTTGTTCTCGGTGTAGTCGATCCCCCCCAACACCACCATTACAATCCCCTCAACCCCTACATCAAAACCCCTAACCTCCATGCCTGATTGACCCCTCGTCGCCCTCGATTGACGGCCACCATTCTTAGTTTTGGTCGAGCGTTTAATCCAAATTTCGACTCATCCCGACATCGAAACCACCCCCGACACCACCAATGGTATCACCAGCTTCTCCGGACCAAAACTCCCAACATCGCTGATCACAATTGCTCGCCAATCGCCGATTGCCATCGCCAATCCTTGGGTGGGTAAATGTCGTTTACTCTAAATAAAATACTTAAAAGTTCTAACAATAGCGGAATTTAATAACACGAAATGACAAAAATAACCATCACTAGACCCAATCTCAAATATTACCACAAATGAGTTGACTAAACATTTATGAACTCTTGAGTTAAAATAACACACTGAGTGGACACTTTTTCAATAAATCTTAGAGTAAACAACTTTTTCCCACCCAAATAATGGTTTAATAACACTTTTCCACCAACAGACTCTTAAAATACCATTTAACTATCTAAATTTATATTCCATTTTCAATTCTGGCATTGTTGCGACCCCACGCCACCACTGTTCTCTTCTCCGATCATCGCCCACCAAAATCCCTCAAACCCTACTTTTGCTGCCTCCGCCAATCACCAACAATCGATTAATTAGGGTTTTCCTAGCCCCCAATTCTAAGTCAAATTTCGATCAATCCCAACCACTAAAATACAACCTACCACCACCACCAAAAGACTTATCTGCCTCTCATTTTCAAAAGCCCCAACAACCTGATTCGAGTTTGCTCTATTTGTCATCGGAATATAAATTTGGGTAGTAAAATGGTATTTTAAAAGTCTCTGGTTGAGAAAATGTCATTAAATTATTATTTCGGTAGAAAAAAAGTCATTAACTCTAAATCTAATTAAATACTTTTTTTTTTTTTTTTTTTTGACCGGGGTATTTGAACAGTTTAAGAACATCTCAATTAATCCATAGAGTCTATTGAACACCATATAAACCTAATAAATCATATAAATCATATAACTTCTAAGTAAACCTGAGGTCGCTAATCTAATACTTTGATAACATAGAAAAACAATTTGTAAACATAATTTAATAAACATTCATACAGCAACCAATAAAAATATGTCGATTACCTTTTCAGTGACTGTTTAGTACTTTATCAAAAACTATATGCAAACATTTTAATTTTTCTCTAAGGTCTAAACAAGTACGCAAGGACAATAGACTGGTCATATAATACCCACATGAATTTCAAAAGGGCAGAGCAGGAATCTGGTCATACACCTGACGTAATTAGATAAACATATAGTAAATCCTTTCATTATTTTTGAATCGCCTAAATACATTATAAAGTTCAATAAAAGAAAACATTTTAAAGATTTAATTAATTAAAGGAAAAAAAAGACTAATGAAATGGTGGGTATTAAAGCAAATTCAAAGAAAAATAAATAAAACTTGAAAGCCCAATCCAAAGCATAATCTCACGGGCTCAGGGCATACTTCCGAAGCATCATTCTCATGATAATGACCAAGTGAAAACTACTTATTATTGTCAATGTTCTACCTAGTTTTATATATAAAAGAAAAGAGCAACAGTTAAAACGAAACAAATAACTTGATTTCATATAAGATGAAAACTTCATATAAAAGAAACCTGAGGGCGCAGATACTGTTGCCTTGGAACATCTACCTTCTTCTGGAGATACCGAGATATCTGTGGGATTGAAAATGTTGGCTTATCCTTAGTTTTAATACATAATCTTGCTACAGCTAGAAGCTTTTTAAGCTCTCTAGAATCATAATTATTCCCAAGATCTGGGTCTATCATCCTAGGGATTGAACTGCCCAAGCACGATTCTTGGATCCATTGGATTAAATCTTCACCTCCTTCCTCTGATGACTGCCCAGTTATTAGCTCCAGGATCAGCACGCCAAGCTGAAATATTATGTTACTGCAATGCTGACTCCTAAGATCTACAAAAGAATGAATAAATATTTTAGTTGAGATAAATTGCTGACATATTACTTGTTGTCTACCTTTTGTAAGGCTAGTAGCAGAATATTATTTACCTTCTGGACATGAGTTGTTAGGCACTCTGACATAATTTCCAACAGAACTAAGAATGCCAACATCAGAGACCTGTAACAAATTCAAAATCAAAGGCAAATTTGACAACACAATTATAAAAAAGTTGAATTATCCGCATGAGAAAATGCTAAAAATTATTACGGAAAGAGAGGTTGTCAACCTAACCTTTGCAGTGAAGTTTTCGTCTAACATAATACTGCTTGAGCTGATGGAGACATGATATATTGGTGGGTTACTAAAGAGCAACAAATATTCCTGCAGTGTATTATTACCTTAATCAGATACCAGATAACTAACTTGTAAGTTATGCATGAATTTTGACAGAAGCTAGAAAGATATATCCATAGAGATCGAGCTGCTTATTGTTGTGTATCTGTTCCCTCAAGTCCATTAATAAACATCAGTGCCAAAGGCTGTGTGTCTTGAGGATAATATTGAGATTAAATTAAGATAATCTGTAGTTCCTGGAAGAAAGAATTAAGCAAAATGCAGTCCTTTTGGTTTGACTTAATACATTTCTTTATGTTTTCTGTAAAAATTCTCTTTCCCATTGAGAAAAGACAGGTTCTTGGACTAACAAATATTAAGAATCTGTAATGCAGGTTATGACTGCCTTCTGGAAGATAATAGCTTAACTTTACAACATACCAGTGCAGCTGCCACACCAATGGCTATTTGAAGCCTCGTCTTCCAATTTAAGGGGGTTTTAAGAGGATCTGCCAAGCACCAATAGTTGTTAGCACAAATTAACTTTGACAATTATGGGCAAGTTTTTCTCGCACAAGTTCTGCCCTAAGGATTACCATTAAGATGTTCTTTCAAGCTTCCATTTTCTATGTTATCAAACACAAGATACCTGCCAAAGTTAAAACAAAGTCCAAACATAAGTAATAGTAATTAGAAAAGCAGAAAAGGAATATAACCTTTCAACTAATCGAAAAGATTACGGAATCAGGACACAGGAATGAATCACATATGATTGGATGCCAAGAACAAAAAACTTTGATGTGACAACTTAATCTGCCATTTACATTGATGAACCAACACTGACTGAGTGTATATATAGGCAGAGTATAATACCATTGATTTAGACATTCTAAATATCATATATATTACATTGACACCAGAACATGATCTTTTTCATGTATACTTCTAAATGACCTTGGCAAATCAGTTCTTTATCAAATATCCATGCAGAGCTTAGAGAACTAATTCTCAAGGTTTTTACATCTTCACCAACATACTGACAAACACACACATTGCAAATAGATTGTTCTTATTATATTGAAAAACAACTAGTTTTTTCAATTCTTACCATTTTACCTACCTGCAAATGAAATCATAAGTAACTTATCCCTTTTACAATATACGCCTGAGTCTAATACTACAGGCCAAGACTTAATCCAAAACTTCTAAACAAATTTTAAAAGATATTCAAGTCATTTTTTTTAGCTAGACGAGAACTCATCAGCATTCCCACAAAAATAAAAGGTCTAGAAAGAAAATGAGTTCTGCTGAAGTCTTCACATGGCATGCTAGAAATCTCTAATGTTCTATAACTTAGGAAATTCAAAAATCTCTTATAGATCAGAGAGTTTGTATTTTCGCAGATTACTACTGTAATTATGAAATGAGCTCAATTCCCATTTCTGTCTTGCGCCACCGGGAAAATATGTTAGAAATTAGGATTCAGACCTCTTACGTCCGGCAGAAAACCCTCGAAGTGCAAGAAGGTTGCGATGATGTAAACGCCCCAATTGTTGCACGTCTCTGTAGAAGACATCTTTTTCTACATTAAAAGCTTGCACTTCTCTTACCAAAGCAACCTCACCATCTTGAAATCTTGCTTTATAAGCAGCCCCATGGGAATTTCTGTAAAATGTTCTGTGAAAACTATCCGTTGCTCTCTTAATTTCCTTGTAAGAAAAACGCCTTACCAAAGATATCGGGCCTGAAACAATCAAGTTGGTGAATTCTATATGTAGTTTAACGAAAATCTGACTAAACCCAAAAACACAGACTAGATCATAAATTTGACACCAGTCACATTACACAAAACTTAGTATGACAGAATGGTTGTTCAAGTGAAACAATTAAGAGAGAATAGAATAGTTTCTACATTTAACATTCGAAAGTTCAAGTTACTGAGAGAAAGACTCCAATAATTCTCCAAAATATAGAGGTATTTTTCCAATTTTACAGGAAAAGAACCGATCAATTCATCAGAATTTCGTGCAGAACAAATGAATTTGTATTTACTATCTTCACATTCTACAGAATGAAGCATATCAGAGAACTTGAAGCCAAACCGAAACTACTTTCTACACAATTCAGAAAATTCAAGTTGAAATCCTTCAAATTGCATCGATTTACAGACAATTAAACTAAACCTCAAAAAATAACCATAAACCCACATAAAATTCAGCAAAATGAAGTCCAAAAATCAACATTGCACTTAAAACACTCCACTCTTAAAATTACAAGAGAAAAAAGATGATACCAGAACGAGATCGATGCAGCCATGCAAGAAGAAGAAGCCTGAATTTGCGGGTGAAGCGATCCATTAACTATGATTTGAAGCACATGGGGTTGGCAGGTTTTAACAGAACACAACAGAATCTTCTTTTTTAAGGCTTCGAGAAATATATTGCTTTATTATTATTATTTTTTTTAACTCATAAAACAACAAAAGAGAGAAGCAGTTAAATGAGTTTGTGTGTAAGTGAACAAGTTTTGAGTAAAGTGGTAAAAACAGTTATGAACCGTTGAAAATAAACTTGAATGACACGTCATTTTGACAGATCATCTTGGGCTCTTCTATCTTGCCGGCCAACATTCACCGTTGGATGGTGGTGGTCGATTATTGAGATATCTAATTGTGGGTGGTGGTGACCTGGCAACCCTTCATATATATATATATATATATATATTGAACAAATAGATCTTTTGAACAAATATAACACATATTACTCTCTTTTTAATTTATCAAAGTTTAAGAAAAAAAATAAAAATATAAAATTTACATACAGGAATAAGCTATGCTTACAGTAAAAGAATAATACTATGTTTTGTTTTATATAAATTTTTAGATTATGATTAATGATAATATAAATTCAAAATAATATTCACGTAATTAATGGCAGTTTGTAAAAGTATGGTGTACGATAGAAAGCATATATGTAGTGTAGCACATGGTAGTTGGTGGCCACGGTCTTATATTATATTTATTCGTATTCCTATGTGTTTTGTCTTTGTTATGATAAATATCCCTACCATTCCAATTATCATCCCAAATTAGGTTATAAAAGATGGATGAGTCTCAATTCTCTTAACGAATTAAAAAAAAGTTAAAAAAATATAAAATAATTAGGCCCGCTTGAGACCTTGCATTATCTTGTGAGTGGATAAAAGAGTAAAAATGTACCAATGTTAAAATACAAAAAAGGCAGATTGAGCATGAATGAATGAATTATTTGAATGGATTGGTGGGGTCTATCTTTGTCTCTTTAGTCTTCTTTCTTTTTTGACCATCTGTGGAGTGGAACTTTAAACTCTCAATGGATATTATACTCTATTCTTCTTTTACAGGTTAATAATTAATTAATGTAGGAAAAACATACATAATCAGAGTCAACCTGTTTGGTTCTTTTTATTGCCACTTCACATTGCCCGCAATTCCGTTGCTGCATTACCTTGAAAACTTTGAATTTATTTGTTATTCTTATTCTCCTCGACTTACTTCTTAAGCTTTCGTCAGAAAATGTATAAATTTATTTGAATAATCTTAACTTATTAAAGCTTAGGTTAGTGTCAATTAGTAAAATGCTCTAATTATTAATTTAATTTTATATTGAAATTCTTAACATTTTAACAGTGTCTGTCTACAATCTACATCTAATCTAATAACATTGGTAACTAGTTTTTCTTTTTTCAATTTCAATTTAATTATTTTTAATGTTTTTTTTAACATTTTGCAATTTTTGTCCCTCTTCAGATAGTTTTCAAAAAAAGTTGTACCTAAAATCAGAAACCCTTCTAAATCGTGTGGGGTAAATGAATAAATTTAATGACATAAGGGTCAAATATAATTAAGATGAAAAGGAAGGGTTATGCCAAAACCATTCTTGAATTTATCTGTTGTCAGCTTTCTCGGTGAGATACATGAACCACTTGCTCAGATAATTCCACTCTCTTCTTCTCTCCTTTATTCAAGCCCATGTATCAACCAACAGGACTCTTCAAGCTCACCGGATTGGCGGTGGTTACTTTTTATCTTTTATTTTCTCCAATTCAAGCCATAGATGTCACATACTGCGGTCGGTTTCTGCACTTAATTCTATCTCATTTCTTAATGCTTTTTTCCCAGTTATTTTCATTGCCATTGTTTCTACATTTTTTTTGTTTCTTTATGTAATTTTAACTTTGGGTTTATTATTTTTTGAAGCTTTTAGAAGAATTTAGATGTTGTTGGGTGACTTATTGTTATTTTAAACTCATAAATGATGGATATTTAATAAGAAACATATGTTTTAGTTGGATTTGACTTCTTTTAATGATTGTAATTGCAGATAAGAAGGGGGATTATAAAGTAAAGGTCCATGGAGTTGAGATAATACCTGACCCTGTAGTGACAGGCCAACCAGCCACTTTTAAAATTTCTGCCTTTTCAGGTAATTCTCCTATTCAGTTTTACCTGGTGCATATACGGGATTGATTGATTCAGTTTAGTGATTTATTGGATCCTTAAACTGGGAATCTGTTGATTGTCTTAGGATGAAATTCTGCGCTTTTTTCAGTTGGTTTACCTTAGATTATGTGTTGACGCTTATCTTGAATATTCTGTGTTCACTGACTACTCTTTTGTTGTTCGTCTCCGAGTTGTCTTTTTCTCCTCAATACTCGTTTGTCAACATCTTATCCACTTCTTAGCTTTAGCATTTTGTGATTTTTGAAATACAAATTTTTGTTGGGAAAGTATGATGGGATATTTGCCAATAGTATCTATATTAGTCCAGAATAATAAAAGAAGTGTTTGTGCATTTTACATTTTGGGAATACATAACGTGTGTTATTTGGTATGATATTCATCATGGCTTTGTGCAGACTGTTCAGGTCTTCAGACCTGAGGTTGTTTCAAACGAACCTGAGTTACAGTCAATCTGATTCTTAAACTTTCTAAGTCCTTTGTATAGCAATGGATTCCTTTGTCGTTTTTCTGGGGTCGATTAATTTCAAGAATATCTCCTATTCTATGTGGAGTTTGCTTGCTGTTGCGAACCTACCCAGATTTCTCAATCATTCACACATACAATGGCTCATGACAGAAACAAACAGCAGTTCATAGCAACCTCTAGAGTTCCAAAATAACAGAAGAGGTGTATTTCATTGATAACTCAGTTTACACCACTCTAGATCGTATCTCAAATAAAAGAAGTACTGGATTTAATTAACAACAATGAAAATAAGAGAAACCAAGACTAGAACATAATAGAAACCGATATGCTGGACTTCGAGGGCCAGCTACCTCCCCTTTTCCTAACTTCTTTCTGGATGCCTATTTACCCTTTTGCTGCTCCCTTTATTCATTTCTTCTACTTACAGAATTTATCCCTCCTCTAGTAATCTTTCGCCACCTGTCCCACTCCCGCAATTCACACTTTAGTTACTTCTTTTAATACTATTGATCCCCTGGTGCTCCTTCCCACGCCTCTTGTACACCCGCACTTCGCGTGTTGTATCAATACCCTCCGAAGGAGAGCCATCTTGTCCTCAAGGTGGAATGAAGGAATGCAGTTTCAGGGTGTCATATTCTTCCCAAGTGTTCTCTGGTGGGGTAACCCCGTTCACTTAACAAGAGCCTCCCTTTCTCCATTGAGTAACCGGCGGAGCTTAAGCACTTCCTCTGGTTCAACAACTAAGACCAAGTCCTCATTCAGTGAATCGGAAGAGGCTGAATATGTGGTGATGAAATTGGCCTTTTTGAGTTGAGACACATGAAATACATTATGGATATGGGCAGTTTCTGGTAGGTCTAACCTGTAAGCGGCTGAACCAATTTTCTCAAGGACTTGGAAGGGGCCATAAAACCTGGGACTTAGCTTTCATTAATGCGGAAAGCTAGATTTCAGACGGTAAGGCTGTAGCTTCAGGTAGGCCGATTCCCCCACTTCAAACTGACATCCCTTCTCTTTGCATTGGCAGAAGTTTGTCATGCGGTTTTGAGCTTTGTGCAGATTCTCCTTAAGCTCAAGTAAAATGCTGTTGCGGGTCTACATTTGTGGATTAACTTCATCCACCGGAGAGTTATGGTTTTTGTATTTCAGCAATGGTTTCTGTACTGCTAATACAATAGCCATCAATTCTCTTTCATAAACTGGTTTGAGTTTCGAATTGGCTGACAGTCCTTTACTAAAATGCAAAGGCCTCCCTTCCTGCATTAAGACAGCTCCCAACCCACACCTTGATGCGTCCGTTTCAATAACAAACTGTTTAGAGAAATCCGGCATTCGTAGCACTGGTACACTGGTCAGGGCAATTTTAGAGCTTCAAATGGCGCGCGCGGTCATCCCCCAAATGAAGGCATCCTTTTTAAACAGGTTTCGGGAAGTGGCATTTTACCGTACCTTTTGACATCGTCTGTAGTATCCGGTCAGTCCAAGGAACCCTCTAGTGTTTTAATATCTTTCGGGCGGGGCCAGTCGACAATACTCTCAATTTTAGAGGGATCCCCAGCCAATCCGTCTGCTGAAATAAATGCCCAATATTTTAATTGGGTTGCCCGAAGGAACATTTTTTTCGGTTAGCCACTAATTGGTGTTCCGTAGCTTCTGAAATGTGAGACTGAGGGTGCTCATGTGGTCTTCCATTGACTTGCTGTACAAAGAATATCATAAAAAAAAAAACAGAATAAATTTCCGAAGTAAGACCTGAATACCTCGTTCATCAAAGCTTGGAATGTGGATGGGGCGTTGGTCAATCCGAAGGGCATAACTAGGAATTCGTAATGCCCTTCATGAGTGCGGAAAGCCGTCTTGTGCGTGTCTTCAGAGCGCACTCTGATTTGATGGTAGCCAGACTTTAGTCCAGCTTGGAAAATACCTCAGCTCCCCAAGTTCGTCGAACAATTCATCAATGGCCGAATGGGAAATCGTCGGAATGGTCAGTTTATTGAGTGCCCTATAGTCTACACAAAACTTCCAACCACCATCCTTTTTCTTAACCAACAACACTGGACTGGAAAAAGGACTGATACTCGGCTTAATAATTCCTGAGGCAAACATCTCCCCAATGATTTTCTCAATTCCGTTTTTGGTAAAACGGATATCTATAAGGCCTAAGGTTTGGGGGTTGGGCATCTGGTAGTAACCTAATTGCTGGTCCGGGGGTCTGCTAGGGCAAATCCGGTAGAGGCTCAAATACGGATCTAAATGTTTCTAACACTGGAAATGACGTGCTACTGACATTGACCTCTTCATCTGACTGTTTTGCAGCTGCCCAAATTCACCCTGTCCATTTCCCTCACTCCTCAACGTTCGGATCATGGCTTTCAAGGAAACCATTGTTTTGCTAGTGCAGATCCCCTAAATTGTCACGTTTCCTCACCCAATTTAAATTTCATCACCTGCTGCCTACAATTCATTGTAGTTTCCCCTATGTTCTAGCCAGCCATGCCTAACACTACATCTGCACTACTCATTTCAAAGGGAAAAAAATCTTGAATTATTTGTACCCTCTGGACTCCCAAACATACTGCCTTACACTCTCCCTCACATCGGACTTTATATCCATCACCAACTCTCACTCCAAACGCCTGTGTTCTTTCTACAGCAATACCCAGCTTCTCTACCAACTCTCGCTAATGAATTGTGGGAAGCCCCACTGTCAATCAAGATAATAACCTCCTGACCCATAATACTGCCCTTCAACTTCATCGTTTTTGGCCATTGATTCCCACAACCGAGCTAAGGAAAGTTCAACATTACCTTGGATTTGTTCTGCCGTCGTTCCTTCACTGGTTTCCACTTCCCCCGGATCCAAATCTTCTTCTTCTCCTCAACAGGATTACTTGAAATTGCTTCTCACCACACTATGGCCAAAATACTTCCCATCACTTGAAGCACAACCCTTTCTCTCTTTTCTTCTATATTTTGGCCTTCGTCATTTTTCGAAAGGGAAATTCACGTCGCGGTGGATGGTTTCTGTCGAAGGATCTGAAGTTTGTAGAGGTGTATTCGCAAGGAGAGAATTTGGATGAACCCAGCGCAGTACCCTCTGCGTTTCTTCGCCCGGGATTTGAGAATGAATTGAGAAAGAATTTGAGAAGGAGTTCGATTTTAGGGATTCAGTCAAATTTGGGGCTTTAAATGAATCTTCGGGTCGGGTGGTTATCGGGTTGAAACTCCTGGATCCAATATTGTTTGACTCGACATTTAATCCAGGCCCTTCCACCTATTGCTCTTGCTGGACCTGTCTTAAGTTCTTCTAAAGCCCAGTTACGTTCCTCTACTCTGTGGGCTCTTTCTATTGTTTGGAGAAGAGAAATGCTGGATCAACCTCAGCTCAGCCCGAATTTCTGCCTTTAACCCATTCAAAAACGCAGCGTTCAGGATCTCTTCCTTCTCTTCACCCAACAGCACTACAGCTTCGAATCTTCTTCTGTAATCAGCGACTGTACTGTTTTGCTTCAGGGCCATTAGAGTTTCATAAGGTTACTCTCTTGAGATCCGCTGAATCTCTGAATTAAAGCAGTTTAACGATGGCCACGAGGTTACAGGTGCTCTGACTTCCATCCATTGATACCAGTTAATGGCTTCCCCTTCCATGCACACTGCCGCAGCTGTTAGCTTACCATCGTCAGGAATTCCATTCAGAGAAAAATACCTTTCAATTCTAAAGATCCACCCGTAAGGATCTTCACCCACAAATGGGTAATTCAGTTTTCTTCCTCCCAACTCACTCTGACTTTGTCCCAAACTCCCTGATCCACTTACTCTGTTTTGATTCTCCTCTTCCTGATTTTCATGTTTCTGGATGAATTCTGTTCCCCACGTCCACTTCTTCTTCATCCTTTCTCCTCATCCAACTCTGTATCTCTACCATGCATTCACGAATTGTCCCCATACCATGCCCAATTTGTGTAGCTCCCGTTCCACATTTTCAAGCCTAGATTCCTTCTTGTTGCTACCAAACCACCCACAACCACCTGCTCTGATACCAATTTGTTTCGAACCTACCCAGATTTCTCAATCATTCCCACATACAATAGCTCATGACAGAAACAAACAGCAGTTCATAGCAACCTCTAGAGTTCCAAAATACAAAGAGTGTATTTCATTTGTACTTAGTTTACACCACTCTAGATCGTATCTCAAATAAAAGAAGTACTGGATTTAATTAACGACAATGAAAATAAGAGAAACCAAGACTAGAACTAAGAAACCGATATGCTGACTTTGAGGGCCAGCTACCTCCCATTTTCCTAACTTCTTTCTGGATGCCTATTTACCCTCTGCTGTTCCCTTTATTCTTTCTTCTACTAACAGAATTTATCCCTCCTCCAGTAATCTTTCGCCACCTGTCCCACTACTTCAATTCCCACTTTAGTTGCTTCTTTTAATACTATTGATCCCCTGGTGCTCCTTCCCACGCCTCTTGTACATCTGCACTTCGCGTGTTGTATCACTTGCACAGGATTTATTTGTTGTATCATGACACTAGTTAATCTATTCTTATGTTTGATAATGTCATTTAAAGATAGGTGTGATACACATATGTGGGGAGTATCCAAAATGATTAAATTATATATCCATTTTAGAAAATAAAGGAAAGAAATTATTGAATTTCTCTACATGTCTATGGTTTTTCTTTCTCTTCCCCTTTTAGTTTTTTGGTCATTGAGAAGAGAAAGGAAAGAAATCACATACAAGGATGTAAACACCCCCTTCAGCTACTATGAAGATTGCATCTTCAAAAAAGATGTCAAAGATATAGATAGACTTAATCAAGTATCCAAATACAACAAATTTACTAAACATCTTGTTTCTAAACTTTAGGCATGCTTGTCTAGTCTGTTGTGGTGTGGCCGCTGTGATGTTGGAGCCATTATGTATTGGCACAGGGCAGTTTTTATTCCACAGCATTTGTTTTATAAGATGAAGTTGGCTTTTCATTATAGAGAGAGATTGAATCTCTTCTTGACATTGGGAAAACATTTTATTTTTAAAAAAGAAAAAGAGAAGCAAAAAAAAAAAAAAAGAAAAATGTAAATAAAACATTGGGAAGTATAATTGTAGATAGGAAAAGTGGTTGTGGTATGATGATGATGATAAAAAGGGGTATTTAATCACAAAATTTGGATCCATCCTCCATCTCGTTCATGCAAGGTGAATGCAACCACATTTGTCAGTTGGTGAATATGTGCTAACCAGAAACATATATATTTTCATTTGATATTTAGTGACATTGATTTCTTGCGAATCCATAAGGACACTATTTATAAATGAAGGCTTTAATTAATCATTGCATTTATCAAACCATCAACTCACTTGGCTGATTAACTTGATGAGAAAGCATACAAATAAAAGAGGAATTGGCTCATTGTAGTTGATTTAAAGGTTTTAGAAAAAAATTGGACTTCAGTCAGTGTTATTATATTGCATATTTGACATAATTGACACCCTTAAAACCTTAGAGACTAAAGTGTTAATCACTGCACAAGTCATATTCTATGTTGCTCTGGCATTTGCCTACAGTGTAGTGGCTTAATTGGTTTGCTTTCTTAAACCTTCAGTCCTGTCCTGCATTGTTTAGTAACAATTTTTTCCTCCATCCTTCTCTTTCTCTCTCCAAATGTCATGAGTTTATATTGTGACTCACTAGGTGAACGTAACGCAAACAGTTGTCAAGGTACTATTTGACAGGAATGAAAATCTGCAGAGTTTAATTATTTGTAATTAAGTTATAACTGATGTAGTTCAGCTAAACTGTTACTATTAAATTTAATTTGATTTAACTAATTCTTAGTGTAACAATTAAAATCTGAAAGACAGGGAACGGCATCGTGTCAGTTCAGAGTTTCATATAGAAAACAATATATTGAATTTCCATCAAGTAGAATGATTTACAATTGTAAGTATAAGAAATTCCCTATGATAAAATCAGTAGTACTAATAATGGTTACTAGGATTATGACATCGACTGTGGTGTTTTCTCTATAGTTATATCTGTGGTACTTGTTGGTCTTGGAGTTTAAGATAGTGGCTACTGGTAATAATACGAAATGTTTGTAAAGTAAATCACTAATGGTCATGGTGACAATGACGCTGCTTTTGGTAGTTGTTGTGACTATGGTAATCGTTATATTAACGGTGGCAATTATAAGCATTTTAGTAATGATTCTATCTCGTACTTTTACAGGATGTGGTAATTGTGATGATTACATCATTTGTAATTTTCATGGTGATATTGGATTGTGATGCAGTTTTAGAATTTTAGAGTTCAAGCTCTTTATAAGATGAGTTCCAAGTTCATAGTATTCAAGTGTTATGAACTTCAGTAGCACTTATCTTCATAAGCTTGTAGTATTTCACGATTACAGGATGTAATGTGATACCTTTCTTCTCTTCTTTTTATTATCCTAGAGCAAATTTCTAATTGTGGACAATAACTTTGATATATTACTGAGTCATAGTCAATGTCTCCTTGTGTTGTGATCCCATGTTGGATTGAAATTGATTGAGTTTTGGGCTTGTAAGGGTGGGTAGGTAACACCACCCAATAGGCTAGGCTTTTGTTAGTTGACAATCACGCCATTTGTTCCTTTTGCAGTGTCGACTACATAGCAATATGGTGTCTAATGGCATTTATCATGGATGACATTCATCGAGAAAGGAAAAAGTGGATAAAAGACGGAAAATGAGTTGTTTGAATTTAAAGTCTAGGGTCTTGATAATAAAACAAGTATTGGTGGCTATGTGCACCGACTCATTTGATATCAATTTACTATGTTATGATTTTTCACTCAATAATTTCTTTGAAAATTTGATTGATTCTGGAAGTGGAAATCCAAAAATACAAGTATAATGAGATGTGATGGTAAGATAGCATGATTAGATTTATTTGCCACTACATCTGATTTGATTTTCTCAACAGTATATAGAGAACAAGCAAATTGTCCTAGTATATTTAAAATTTATTTTAATCATGTCAATATTTTTATTGTCTAATTAGAACCCTTTTTTGGTCTAGGGAAATTGGCATATTGTGATTCCCTTATTGCTGGGTCAAACTGCATAATCATGTCATCTTTCAAAGTTTTGGCAGCTGCTCATATACTGACTTAAAGTTGTAGATTATCATTTTACTTTAAATTTTGATGTTAGATCATATTTCCACCCATAGAGCTAAATTCAAATTGTTGGGTTGGGGCAATTGGTTCTCAGATGAAGATTTCTCATTTCTGGATGTCCTTGGTCTTTTTGGTCCATATATTTTACCTTCTTATAGCACACATTAATGTATGAATATTGATGGGAACCCCTGTCAAATTAAATCAAATCCAGCTGCAAACAATCCAAAATACAAAGAATGGACAAACACCCAACAATTAATCAAATACTGTATTGAAGAAGAGAAAACTTAACAAGAAATAGTTCCACAAACAACCAACCAAAACCAAGAACAGATAATTCCCAGCAATTCGAGAAGTTGGGGACCTCCCTTAATGACCCTCAAAAAAAATATACTTAACTTTCCCTAAGAATAAAGCTCCCTTTTTATTCTATTTAATCTACTGAATTATCCTCCCTCTAACAAACTATATTCCCTGACACGTGGATATTCCATAACAAACCTTCACTAGCACATTCCCTCTTTATAGCTCACTCACACTACCAGCACCCTTTTGCCCTTGTGCCCCTTATGCCCCTTCAGCTGGTAGACTTTATTAATAGGTCTGTCATATATGAAGCTACTTTTTGTGTTTACATTCCCTTGATGTGTCCCTTGGAGTTTCATCAATAAACTTATTGTGTCCCTTTTCACAGCTCAAGCTATCCCTGGTGGGAAAGTGGTGATTGACGTTTCTTACTTTGGAGTGCATGTCCATCAAGAAACACATGATCTTTGCCAAGAATTGTCCTGTCCTGTTGCTGAAGGAGACTTTGTGCTGTCTCACACCCAGACTTTGCCTGGTTTCACTCCTCCAGTAAGTTTCATCTCTATGACTTAAAACATTGTGATTTATGAGACCATCATAGGTACCCCCAAACTATTAGGCCATGTTAAAGTATCAACTTCTATCACGATGCATTAAAATGCCCAAAATAACTAGACGCTGATACTAAGTTATGAACATTGGCGTTGGCAGAGGTATGTGGGCATTTTTTCTTATTTTTCAAGTAACCTTGCGGAATAGGAGAATTTGTTCATAAGAAGAAGAAAATACACCTACCTAGGGGGGACATAGAGGCCTTAAATGCTTTTGTTGATCAAATTTGGAGCAAACAGAAAATGATAGATAAGCAAATGAGTGTATGGAGGTGTTTGTTTTCATCCATTCTTTTTCTTAGTGAAACTTTACATCCCAATTTAATCTCTGAAGTTAATGAAGTATATCTTTTAGAAGTTAAGGGTAAGACAAGGAACATGGAATACTTCCCTCAAAACTGGAAATACAGCAAAACAGAAGCAATAATGTTAAGCAACGAATATTTACCAAAAAAAAAAAAAAAAAAAAAAATATACCCGATAAAGTATTAGCCTGCATGTGCGGAAGGGCTCTTTAGTTGTGCTCCTTAATTTAAGCTTGTAGCTGGAACCATCTTTTATCCTTAAGCTGGATCATGTGTCACCACCTTCTATGCTGCCTTTGATTCCTAGAGGTGGAAAGAAAAAACAAAATAATGAGAAAAAAATCTTATTTTTCTGATTTTTTATTTTTTCCCACACATTTTGTTGATGTCCAAATGTATGATTACGGGAAGTATGACAAGTTACAGTAGCAGCTCGTACTTCTTAATTCTAATGCTAGCATAACTAGAATCCTACTTGTCTTGTTTGGAACCAGAAACATTATCCTTAGTCGAAACTACTTTCAGTGTCTTGCTTTTACATCACGTGTCCACAAATAGGATAAATATTGTTGTAGTTACACTTTACATCGCAATTTCTTCTATCCTTTGATAAAGAAACTAGTTTGCTTTTTGGAAAAAACTTTGCTTGTTGCTATTTTTAAAATTAAGTTTATCTGGTTCTTTACTTTTGCTGAACACTACTATTTTCATTGGCCCCTTTCTCTGGGAGTTAGATCCCAATAACAATATTTTCACCCACCAACTTTGGTCATCGAGCTCCTATGTTCTATAATTAATCCCATTTTGCTTCTTATGAACATCTTCTGACTACTGCTGTTGGCTGCTCGTTTTTATTTGATTTTCAAATTTAAGATAGTATTTGGTGGAAGTGAAAATTAGTACAATATTTCTTTAGTAGCCAAATTGGAAGTTAATTTGATAATTAATTTTTTCTTACAATTTGTTCAATTGTTTAATATGGGTGTGGTTTCTACAGGGCTCTTACAAACTTAAGATGACAATGGAGGACAAGAACAACCAAAAGTTGTCTTGCTTTAGCTTCAATTTCAAAATCGGTTTTGGATCGTTGATCTCCGATAGCTGAGCCAAAAAGCGTGCGATGTAATTGCGTGGTTGAATATAAGTTTTAGGTCTTTGTACATAAAAACACTTACTGCTATCCAAAGAAGTGTCCCAAACAGCGCGTTGTGTGTAGCATATAAAGACAGGGCCATTGTTGTTGAATGGTTTTACCGTTTACGAGTAAATTAAAATACTCAACTCCTATCTTCTTCAGCTAATAATTCAAAGTTTTACCTTATCATCTTCTTCCCGAAGGTTTCAAACAACAGATAAGATAATAGTAATACTTACTTGCAGACAGTAGCTAATCCAAATAAAATGAAAACGAACTTGCCCCAAATACAATAATTTATGGTTAATAAATTTGTGTTAACATCTGCAAATACTAGATGCCAAAAACGTTTCCGGAAACAATTGGAGCTATGGTCACTAAAGTGTCACCTAAAACTTTTTGCTTGGTTGAATCGGTGATGTTTCATTCGTCATAATGTAGTAATATGGTAAGGCGCACGTCGATTATATTGAATGAATGCTCCCAACTACAGATTCTTCCCCTAGATAATTAATGGCTTCCCAACTTTTCTTTTCAGCCAAAATTTTTCTCTAACTTCTACCAATTATTTACTGCGTTTATCTGATCCATGATTGCACAACTCGTTGCCGAGTAAGATGCCTAGACAACCGCCGGGCAGAATTGTGTGTCGGTGTTTGGTTTTTCAGACGCGAAAATACGATTTTCCGGCAACTTGTCCATGTCTGGGTAAGCTGAAAATCTGGTGGTGACTATTTGAAGAAAATGCATGCTGCCTTCTTATTTCATGAAATCATAAATTTGTATATGAAATCCTTTGGTGGGTCTGTCCAATGAACTTGCCTCTAGTAGGCACCCATGCGTTGCACCAGGTTGTCGGCAAACAACCTTGACAAGTGAGATCAGCCATTGCCTTTCGACAGGGTTATTCAACACTATAATAACCTTACCGTATTATCTGTATCCTTGTTCAGAATAATACTGGGGCTACGGACGTTTTTAGAATGACCACCATATGTGATCATAGGGTTCTCACTATCAAGATTTGAAATACTTGATACCCTCGTCACGGTTCTACCATTCTAAGGACATATATCATTACATACATGATATAGAAGAATATGTCTTTTATTGATAAATAAACATTTATACAGAGTCAATTTTACAATAATTGATTGGCTATAGGGTGCCTACTCTAACAACCTTTACTTAAGGAGAATGATCAATGGTAGATTCAGATGCAATACTACGTTTCTAGTTATGTGGAGATCAGAATCCTGAAAAGCTATGCACTGGTTGATTGGTAGGCAAAAGGATAAGTGAGCATGTACGAGATATGAATTCAAGACGGTTTGTACCTTCTTATACCTCGACTCATTTGGGAGGTGTTAAATCATTTCATGATTGCACCAACATAGATAATGCCGAACGGGTGGAGGTTATTGTTGTGCTTGGAGGTGTTGTGCACTCAGAACCGAGTGATGTTCGGTTTGCACGAGCTACTGCATTCCTACTATTTGAAGGAACATGACCGAGAGAAAGGTAGATACGCCATCACCCTTAGGCACTACAGACTCCACTTAGTGACGAACCTGAGGTCGAGTGACAAGAACTGGAAGGAGCAGTTTTTCTTTATGAAGGGCAAGGCCATATTTAGCGAGAGAGGCCAGGGCGAGATAGCAAACACATGGAGAGCCACACGTGAGAGATCGATTTTTGTCTCCTTGTGATTACTAAGTCTTATTCTTTCTTTCTTTTTCAAATCCCGACTTCGATCGAGTCAAAAAAAATGGAGACGGTGTAGACGTGATGACGAGGGAAGTTCTTACCATTTCGAAGGAACAAAGAGACTGGAGAATAATCTTGAAAGAATCCAACTTGAGGATGAGTCATTTGTGGGCCGGAGTTGAAGCTGTTCAAAGGGGTATCCCATTCCCCTCATCGAAGCAATTATGGCACGTGCTACTAATTCACTACAGCAATCACATACTATTTGAGCATTTGTTTCTTCATCCACTAGCATCTGATGGGTTTGCCATTGTAGAGAGGTTGATGAGTAATCTTAAGGTAGGCATACCAAATACGAGTGATGTGGCTATGAAGCGTAAAGATAAGAAGAAGAGGGATTTGGCCCCAAGGAGAGTTCAAGTTCAACAAACTGAGTCAATTCCTCTCATCGGTTGGAGTCGGGTCATCAAAAGAAGTCACATTTGATGAGGATGAAAAGGTGACGATCACTCTTCCCAACACAACCTTGATCTATTTTGATGCAACTGGGATGGGTAGTTTGGCCAAGTCGTTTTTGCTACCTGCTGACGAAATTCGACTGAATCAGATGAGGACGATTGCTGTGGCCGAGTGGGTTGGCAACTTCAAGTACTTCTTAATTACTAACTTTTTTGCTAAGTTATGGAGGTAACTTGCATGTTTTCTTGTAGGCTTTGAGAAGACTCTATTTGAAGAAGGTTGCGGTTGCCTAGGACGTGCGAATCCAAGAGTTGATTAAGTCCAATACCGGTCTGAGAAACCGGGAGGCTCAAGCATTGAAAAACTCAAAGAAGAGCTGCACTAAGCAATGGTAGGTCGAGTTGGAGTCAGTCGAATTGAAAAAGGCATTGGCTGAAGTTGAGAGGGTGCTCTCTGATGTGAATAGAGAACTGGTTGAGAGAGAGGAAGAGTCAGTCACACTTAGGGAGCGATGCAAATCCATAGCTAAGGATGCCATGATCAAGGCCCGTGCTAAGCTGATGAAGGAATACAAGGCTAAGAATATTGCACATTGGGACCTTGATGGGGACATCGATCTCTGGGAGGCAATAAAGGCTGAGGCAGCCTGTGTCGATGACCAAGTGGATGAAAGGCGAGCCAAGTCTGACCTCAAAGATCAGATGGAGGAATTTGTTGAAGATCAAGAGGAAGCTTTAGCGAGTTCGACTGAGTTGACCATGGATGCAACAATTGTTAGTGGGTTAGCTGGTCAGGAGAAAAAGGTCGGGCTGACTAGAGATCATTTAGCTTAGGAAGATCAGCTGGGTCGTGTCGACCCTTAGTTTATATGTTTTTTCAATACTATTCTAGACTTTTAAGGCATGTAGTGCCTTTTGTGCTTTTGTATTTGCAACTCTTCGCCAATGCAAGCTTTTAAGTTTTAATGCATTGTTTTTCGTTTGCCTCATTACCAAGTGTTGCGTTGTTGTGTGATTTGTATACTTAGAATGTTTTTATTTTTTAGAAATTTGTGTGTTGAGGTCAAGTGGCTGAATTTTTGATGATTGGTTGAATCTAATTCCCTAATGTGAATCAATGTGCCTCGAGGCTAGGTCGCCATGGCCGACTGTCGATGTAAGTAGGTCGATGCAAATTAGTCGATGTAAATCAGTAAATGTTGAGTCGACATGGCCGACTGTCGATGTAAGTCAGTCGATGTAAACCAGTAGATGTAAATTAGTAGATGTTTTGATGTTCGGTCGGCATGGTCGACTGTCTATGTAAATTAGTAGATGTGCTGAGGCTCGGTCGATATGGACGATTGCCGATGTAAATCAGGCCTCACGACCGAGTCGATGCAAATCAGGCCTCACGACCGAGTCGATGCTAATTGATTGTAGTTGAATAAATTTGTATATGCTAAGTATACCAATGCCTGGTTGGCATGACCAACTGTCGACGTAAATCGGGCCTCGTGACTTAGTCGATGCATATTGATTGGAGTTGGATAAATTTGTCAATGCTAAGTATACTGAGGCCCAGTCGGCATGATCGACTATAAATGTAAATCGGGCCTCGCGACTGAGTTGATGCATATTAATTGGAGTTGAATAAATTTTCTATGTTGAATAATACTTTTATTGATACTAGGCTAAAAGCCCAATTGACAGGAGAAGAGATGGACAAACCCACTCACTTTTTTTTTTTTTTTTTAGAACCAAAAAAAAAAAAAAAAAGGAAAATAAGAGCAGTTTACTAAATGTAGTACCATTTGAAATGGATGGCATTCCAGCTATTGGTGATATCTTTCCCTTCTGGAGTCTAGAGCCTATAGGCTCCTTTGCCCATCGCTCAAGTTATCTTATACGAGCCTTCCCAATTAGGGTCGAGCTTCTTATCGTTGACCTCTTTAGTATTCTGAAAGACTTTGCAAAGCACCCAATCTTCTTCCTTGAAAGCTTTCACTCGGACATTACACTTGGACATTACACTTATATTGCCGAGCGACTCATTGCTGATAGATAGCGTTCCTAATGTGAGCCTGATCCTTCAGTTCATTGATGGTGTTTAGGTTGTGGCAGAGATTCTGGTCATTGGTATGCTAATCCATCCATTGGAGTCTGGGAGAAAGGATAGAGACCTTGGCTAGGATGACTGTCTCTAAGCCATATGCTAATGAGAATGGTGTCTCTCCAATGAATGAGCAGACTGTGGTTCGATAGGACCAAAGTACTCTCGGTAGTTCATCTGCCCAAACACCCTTAGCTTTCTAGAGGCGTTTCTTGAGGGTTTGCATCACTATTTTGTTGGATGACTCAACCTGCCCATTTTATTGAGGATTGCGAGGTGTTAAGAAGTTGAGCTTGATATGGTATCATAGAAGTCTCTGAACCTGAAGCTAATAAATTGAGATCCATTATCGATGACCAATTCCTTTGGTATGCCGAACCTACATATTACATTCTTCCAGATGAATCCCTTCACCTCTTTGTCTCACACTTGAGTGAATGCCTTGGTTTTTATCCATTTGGTGAAGTAGTCAATGATTGCTAACATGTACATTCGTTGCGTAGGTGCAATTGGAAGTTTATCGACTATGTCTATCCCCCATTTTATAAATGGCTAGGGGGTGAGGATGGAATTGAGTCTTTTAGGGGGGAGGTGTGAGACATTGGCAAACCTTTGACAACTATCGCACCTCTTGACGTAAGTTACTGAATCAGCTCGCATGGTAGGCCAGTAGTAATCGGTTGTGATCACTCTGTGGGCAAGACTATGTCCCCCAACATGGTTCCCACGCTCGCCTTCGTGTATCTCAACGAGGACATATTTGGTTTGTTTTGGAGTAATGCATTTGAGATAGGGGTCGAAAAAGGACTTCTTCAGTAGCCGACCCTCATAGATTATGAATCTGGCAGCCTTGGCTTTGAGTCAGCAGACTTCATTCTTGTTAGATGAGAGTTCATTATTTTCCAAATATCGGATGATAGGGGTCATCCACGAGTTA